TCTGCACGAACGAAATGGGCACGGAAAGAATGGGTACAGTGCCCAACAGCGGATCTGGTTCATTTTGAGCAGGACTCGCTGTCCACGCCGCCGCGGCCTGTGTCCATCTGAGACAGAAGTTCGGGTATGGCCAGGACCCCAGGAAAGGGGGCCCGGGTAGTGGTAGGGCCCCGGAGCCTTCGAATTGGCCAGAATCATTAAACCAGGTTTGCCATCGCTGGTGTTTTTTCGGGTGACGGCAGTTCCGGTTAGTGGAAATGGGACGGGGGGGCGCCCCCGGTACAGATCACTAAACCAGGTTCCCCTAAACCCAGTTCTGCCAACGACCGATCAGGGCCTGCCGACTCTTTCTCCCGCCGAGCCGCGGGGATCCGGCTGGATCCACGGAGGCGCACCCGCGCCAGCGGATGTGCATACCCAGACGAGTCGAGGCGAAGCACAGGGAGGTGCCCAGGCACGAAGCTCTGGCGCAGGCCGTGGAGGCGCCGGCGTCGCCGAGCCCCGAGGGCGGCCTCGGCTCGAGGGAGGCAGCGCCTCGCCTCGCTCGCCCGAGAGCCCGCGGGCCCGGGGCGGGGGCGCGCACGTGGGCACGGCCGGGCGCCGAGCACATCGGGCCCCGAGGCGCTCTCTCACTCGAGGCTCAGGTCGGGCCTGTCCCCCTACAGGGGGATTGTCGACGAAAATATAATATACCCCCCAGAATACACCAAAATGGCAAACAAATATTTTGAACATAGTCCCCAGACATTTTTTTTTTTTTTGTTGTTTGGATTTTTTTTGGGTATTTTATTTTTCGTCGAAAATCCCCCTGTAGGGGGGCAGACCCGACTTAACTCGAGGCCAGGGGTTGGCGCCACCCCAACATGCAGAGGAGGCCCATGCCAAGAAACACCTTGCTTGCCTTCAGGGGTGCCCTGGGTCGCTTGGGCTTCCGCGGTTCTGCGACGGAGATCGAGGCGCTCCCAACACCAAAGAAATCGGTAGACGTCCTGGGGTCTCAGGGTTGGGTTTCTCGTGGAAGATTTCTTGTGGCGGGGCCCCTACTGTACTGATGCTATATGTGCGTCGCCCCCCCATGGGGAGACGCGCGCACCGAGAACTCTTATAGTATCTGCGTCTTGGCGGGCGCGTTCCGGCCACGCCTCTCGGAAAGCGATGTACTGAAAGAGGGGTATACTACAGGTTCGTGTCGGACGTGCGCCTCCAAGGAGAGACATCTAGTACCAGTGTGTCTCTGTGCGTCCCACGGGGGTGTCCCGTCCCCGGATCAGGGGCAACGTCAGGGGGAGAACGAACAAGGACATAAACATACAAACTCGGAGGTCCGCGCGGACTTCTTGGGTCCGCGCTGGACCCCCCTCACTGGCGCGCTCCGCGCGCCAGGGGCGGCGCTTGAGGCGCCGCCAAGGGGGCCCCAGCGCCGATCAGAGACCTCCGCGCGGACCTCCGAGTTATCATTTTTGTATCATTCCTCGTTCCCCTAGTCCCGTCCTCGGATCAGGGGCAAAGTCAGGGGGGGATGCATCGAGCTCCGAGAATGTTCGGGTGTTCTCGGTGGTTTTAGGAGGTTTTGCGCCCTCGGGGCATGCGCTTCTCAGCAGCTGCGCGCCGCCGAGGGGCGTTCGTCCGCTCCGCTCGGGTGCCCCCGGGGGATGGCCCCGGGCGGCCGTTTCGGAGAGCGGAGTGGTGAGCCGAGAGCCAGAAAGGGCAGCGTCAGGGCGGGGGATTGTCTCGGGGGGGAGTGCGTCGAGCCCCAGTCGCCCACTCGCTGCTGACGGGGGCCTTATGTCATCGAGAGCAGAGGAGATCCTAACCCCAACAGCACGATGAAGGCGTGGTCTCACTGAGCCAATTACCCGGTCGTTCCCTATCATCAGGGGTCGAGGTCAGAGGGCCAAGGCTCTGGGACGCCTTCTGCCGTGGATCCCCCTGGCGGCCTCCGGGTGCCTCTGCGGGGACATCCGGGCACTGGCGGGGGCCTCTGGATCGGACCTCTGGGGGCCCAGCCTGGTCTTAGGTCGGGAATGCCCCCCTACAGGCGGATTTCGGGTTTTTTAGACGGAAAAACCAGAGACAGTCGCATCAGATTTCAAAATAGTCGGGAGCCGTTGCAAATCGTCCCCAGACTGTTTTTGGCCAATTTCCGAATCCTCCTCCTGTATGGGGGACCTGCCCGACTTCACAGTCTGGTCCCGGCCGCCTCCCCTGGAGCACGGCCCTGGAGAAGCAGAGACCGGTCCCGGGGCAAGTTCGAGGCGGGAATTTATCCGTATCCACCGCCTGGAGGGTCAGTTTTCGGAGCCCTCCTCCTTCTCCTCCTCTTCCTCCTCCTTCCTTACGCTCGTCTCCTCCTCCTCCTCCTCCTCCTCCTCCTCCTCCTCCTCCTCCTCCTCCTCTTGGCAGGCGGTGGATATGGACATATCCACAGCCACCACTCGCTGGGGCACCAGGACGTCGGCTCCCATGCGGTGGATGTGGAAAAAGCCCCGCCTCGCATGTGGGTTCGCGGCGAAGGGGCTCGTGCTCTTGCTGGGCGTTACTCGATGGTGTCCGCGTGAGCCGCAAAGGAAAACGGGATTCCACTGCGCGGGCATGCGCGCGTAAGCCTCCCGCGTCAGCTCGCTCGCGAGCGTCCTCCTCTCCGCGCGGTGTACTGCGCTGGGGGCCCGCGTATCAGGAGCCGCCTCTTCTCGTCGCTCGTGTTTCGACAGCGGAGCTGGCGAGTCGTCGGAGGTCAGCGTATTCAGGTCGCGCCAAGACAGTCGCGCGCTTCGCGCGGTTTCGTGGCTGGGGAGAGTTGCCCGTGTGATCGGGGTGGCCCGCGCGAAAGGGCCTCAAGGAGGCAGCGCTCCGCGCGCCGGGAGAGGCCCTTTGGCCGTCTGAGAGCGTTCCTGGCCCGTCTGATGCCGTTGGAAGCCGTCTTGGGGGCCTCTCTGGGCCGACCTGGGGATTAGATGTGGTGCTTGGGGGCCGTCTTTGAGCCCATCTTGGGCGTCTTGGAGGTCTCCTGGGCCGTCTTGGGGCCGTCTTGGGGGTCAGTGGCCGTCAGGGGCCACTATGGAGGCCTTGGGCGCTCTTGGGATCATCTTGGTGGCCTCCGGGACTTTTTTGGGCCAGAGGTCTGGAACACTTCCCTGGGACCGGTTTCTCGTCCTGAGTTTTTTTCGGTCCCGAGGCCTGGCGAGGGCCCCCCGAGGCCGAAGACGGCCCAGAACCCGCCGTTTCAATCTTTTCGGAGCGTCGGATCTCTCGGAGGGGTTGACCCCCGACGTCCAGATTTTTTCATTTCGTCGACCTCAAGGGTCCCGACCCATTTTCCAAGACTGTTTTTTCACAAGGAATCGTTATTTGACGGTCCCGAGGCCCGGCAGGGGCCCCCAAATGCCGAAAATAGCGAGACAATTTACGTCGTGTTTTTTATGGTTGGCTGCACCCTGGCGGATCGCGTGGAGGGGCGCTCTTGGGGTCTTTTGGGCGCAAATGAGAAAACGGCAGCATCTAAGGGCCATCGATGATTTCGGCCTCTTCGGGCCTTCTGTAGGTCCTCTTGGAGGTCTCTTGGGCGGTCTTCGGCGATCTTGAGGCCATCTTTGGCCATCATGGGTGTATCCCGGCCAGTCCTGGATGGCCAGCGCGATCCGCCGAGACCCCATGAGGAGCTTATCGGCGGTGGACAGAACCCCGACCCTGACACGTCGATGAGTGGATTGTCCGTTTTCGGTTCTCGAGAGGGCGCCGCGGCCGTCTTTTTCCAGGCTTGCGCCCGCTAGGTTTGGGCCCCAGGTCGTCTTCATTAAACCTCGTTTTGCTAAAGGGGGTTCTGTCCATCCCCGATTCTAACATTAGGTCTGGCATGTCCCCTTACAGGTGGATTCTGGGCGAAAAATGAAACATAGTCAGAATATGTCGAAAAAGCAGTCAAAACATATCGAACACATCGTGCCCAGACTATTTTTGGACCATGTTTGATTTTTCCTCCTGCAGAGGGCCGCGCCCGATTCAATTCTGACGCAGCCAAACGTGCAGCCCGCCGTGCACCCCCCGTGGCAAGCCACGCGGGGGGAGGCAGCTCCGGCGGCCCTGCGCCTCTCCCGCCACCGTGCCAGCACTGTACGTTTGAGTCGGGCCTGTCCCTCCACAGGAGCCACCACTAAGCCGAGCATCCGGAGGGACGCGTGGGCAGAAGGGCGCGCGAGTGGCAGCTCTTCGGAACATGCGAACAGCGCGACAGAAGAGGGTGAGGAGGTGGAGGACAAAACAAGGATATCTCAGATATGCTGCGCTGTCTTGTACACTTCGGCAGCCCACTGCTGCCTGGGTCGGCCGCGCCTCCGGTGCACCACCCAGCTCTACAGGGGAAGATTTTTTGATTATGTTTTCGAACATTTTGGCATTTTGGGGGTACTCTTACCGACCTAACTGTACGTCAGAGGCCTCTTGGGTGCCTGTTGGGGATCTCCCAGGAGGCTTCTCGGAAGCCACTTGAAGGTGATTTTGGGGGTGTCTTGCTGCCTATGGGGGCCTCTTGGGGCAATGCAGGCCCTTCCAGATTAGCCATAAAAGACCCGCCTACATCGGATCCTCTCTTTCGCTACACTGAGATCCAAAAGCCCCCCCCTTGCAGTTTATTTTTCTGAAAGACCTGCTGGGATCCAGAATTCGAACGATGCCTGCAGCCAGGTGAAGCCCAGCGTCGAGTGGACCCGTAGCCGCCAGTGGTCGCAGACTCAGGACGTCTGGATACTGTTTATCCCCTGGCGATAACGGGCGTGACCAGTGGAGGGTGGAGGGTGGGAGGGGGCCGGTTATGTCACGATTCGCGCCGGCGCCGTTTGGTAATGCTTTTAGGATTGGCGCATTCGCAGGCGGCGTGGGCGCGAATCGTGACGTGACAAGGCAGAGGGGGGGCGGGCTATTCAGGGGCGTTCTCGCGGACAACAGGGCAACGGACTGCAGGGGTCGCAGACGCAGAACGCTCGGTTCTGTTGCACCCCGTCGTCATGGGGCCTCTCATCATGGGCCGCGTCGGCGTCTCGAAGTCGCAGAAGCTGCTGATCCTGCTGCCCGTGCTGCCCGTGGCCCTGGCGAGCTTCGCGGCCTCGTTCTGGCTCTCCCGCCGCCTCGGGGAGGTGCTCCGAGCCTCCCCAGGGGGGCTCCGCGCAGGTGGGGTCGGAGGGTCGCGCCGCATCTCGTAGCCCAGAATGACACCCCCACCCGCAGCCGCAGCGGGGGCGAGGCAGTCTTGCCGAGGTTCAAGTCGGGCCTGTCCCTCAACAGGACGAACAATCAGACATAGGCAAATCAGGGGACGATTTTTCGATCATTCGTTTTTTATGTGTGTGTGATTGTTGTTGAAGTATTTTCATTTTCGTGCAAAATCACCCTGTAGGGGGACACGCCCGACCTAAGACGAGGTTGGTGCCGCGGCTGGGCATTGGATTTCGGGGAATGGCTCACGCTCGAGCGCCAGCCTCGGAGGCCGCCGAGATCTCACCCCCCCCACGGGCCCCGGTCCCGCGCTTGCAAGGGATGCCCGCGGGTGCCGCCGTTGAACGTGGTGGTGCCTCTCGGATCATCAGCAGCAGCGTTGCATCGGCCATGCGGCTGGACGCGTCGCCGCAGCATCGTCGGCGCCGCCGATGCATCGTTTGCGCGGTGCCGATCCTCCGACCTCCATCAGCTCGGACCCCATTTGGGAGGCCCCGAGGTGAGGGTCCTGAAGCTGGGGCTCCTCGCCGCGACGCTTTTCGCGCTGGCGGTGGTGTTCTGCCACGAGGCTGGCGGACGAGGAGGGGGGGCATGGAGGACCAGCAGGCTGGCGGAGGGGAGCATGATGAGCAGGATGATGAGGACATGGGCTGGGAAGGAGGATGAGCGTACGGTTGGATGGGTTCGAGTCTGCTGCAAACCATGCAGCAGTTGGAGGACTATGCCTTCAACTTTCTGGCCTTCGAGAGCTCTTCACGCACGAGCTGGGCCAGGGAGATGCCAGGAGTCCCGAGCGCCATAGAGGCGCTCTCGATGCTCCGGGGGAGACTACCTTCCTGGGCCCTGGCCAGCTGGGTGGCGGCCCCTTGGTTGGGATTTCTTTTATTCCATCGGCTAAATAGACCTCTGCTTGCCGAGCATGCTTAGGATCCGCACTTATGTCACACCAGGTAGCTGATCGGCTGCTCTAAGTGCTCCATAATGGAAGAGGTCGTGCCCCTTGGGATTCGAAACTAACCCCGAGAGGTGCTCACGATGACCAGGACAGCGAGAGGCATAGGGCGCATCCGGCTCATCGTGAAGACTGGACCCGGCGACAGAGCCAGCATCTTCAACGCCCATTCGTCAGAGAAATGGCGTGTTGACTGTGGGGTTTCCTCGGGGACCGCGGGAGCAGGGGGGAGGGGGCTCAAGGCCCGAGGAAGAGGCAAGGGACCCCCCTGAGGCGAGGGCCGTAGCGGCCTTGGACGGGGGCGAGGTGCTCTTTTCGCGGCTCAGCCACGGTCTTTCTTCTGCGAGGTGCTATGGCCGGCCACTCTCCGAAGGCCTCCGCGAGGTATCTGAGATGACCCCTCAAGCAGTCAGTGGCGAAGCGTCCCGGCGTGCCTATAGGCCTACCAAACAATGTTCTAAGAACTTTTCGTGGTTTCCACGAAATGTTCTTAGAACATTTCTGGCTTGGACTGTTTTGTTTTATCGCATCGGGCTAATGTTCTAAGAAACTTGTGTTGTTCTTCGAACACTTCGTGGTAGGTCTTTAGGAATGCTGGGACGGTCGGTCCCTGCTCAAGAGGTGGCCCCGAGTGGTCTTGAAATCTTGATCCAAGACAGCGTGTCTCTGCTTCGCTGGGCTGAACTCCTAAATGGCGGCGGCCTTGGCAAGGCGGTCCGTGGCATCGTTGCCTTCGACCAGCCTGTGTGCCTCGCTGTTTTCGGGCAGGGATGCGGTGTCCTGGTGAGCTTTCACCTTTGGGAGCTTCTCTCATATCAGGAATCGCCCAGCTCCAGCAAGCAACATGCACCCGGCCCACAGCTTTCGTCTAGGGTAGTCCCTGCAGCCATGCAACCGCAGAACCCCTTTGTAGTTTGAGCGAAGGACTTTTTTGCGAATGGAACCGGTGCCGGCTACAACTACTGCAATGTGTTCTGCAGCTCCTCGTGTTTGCGAGAACATTTGGCCTACATGGCCGCTGAAATGGGCAATTGGTTGACCTGAACGCATACATGCCACAGTGTATCCCGCTGCATCGAGAGCATAGTGGCCATGATCCGTACAGCTGCCGTCTATGATCACCTCCCCTTCACTAAACGCTTCCCCAGGCCTTACACCGGATCTCTCTCACCAACACTTTCCAAACTCGATCTCCGAGCCAGGGGGATGGCCTCCAACAAAACCAGGAACAAACTGAATACCGAGGTGGAGGGAGTATTTTGGGGAAGGGGCTCACGCAACCTCTGAAGTTCCGCTTCTCAGAAGTACGTGGTTCTTATATTCTCTGTCTTAGGGCAGTGAAGCATGCGATGCCGAAGGTCGTCTGAGTGGTGTCCACAATCGCAGCTTTGCACAACATCCATATCATGGAGCTCAATCCCCACTAACGCCTGCATCCTCTGGATTAGCTCCCTGTGCTGGGTCTACCTCTTAGTTAAGGTGATTTCAGGCACCTTCTTCTTCTTTTTTGCTTACGACATCATAACAGGCAGACTTGGCGCACTCCATGGTTTGAATATTCCAGGTGAGGAAGGCGAGGAGAGATCCCTGCTGCTGAGGAGTGAGTTCACGACAGGCGAGCGTGCTGCGAGCGGCGTCAACATCTAGGACAGCAGCTGTGTAGCCCAGCTTGTTGGCCGGTCAAACTTCATCAGCTTTTGGAGGCAGGCAGGGGAGTGTCCTGGGAGGGGGTACTCAATTCTTGAGGTAGTCAAACACAAAGGGGCCCCGACAACTCGAACTTGTTCTCCTGGGGGACGGGATGGTGGCGCTGAGAGCCCCCCTGCAAGACCCAACTCTTGGAAGCTCTCGGGAGGATCGCATCCGCCCAGAGATGGAGCCGCCATGTGGCCGTGCTGGGTCGGGTGGAGGCCTCCCGAACGAGCCTGTGCCAGGACCGAGGGCAGCTTTCCAAACTGGGCCCTGGATGATGAGGAGAGACAGGCAGCGGCTTCTGTTCGGGGGTAGCGCGATCCAGCAGCGGCTGAATATGCGGAAAGGCGGGCGTTGATTCATCCGATGCAACATCATCCGGTCGAACTCATCCGATTGCAAACTCATCCGGTCCTATTTCAGCCGATGACTTACTCATCCGGTCAAACTCATCTGGTGACTGACTCATTCGGGCCAATTCATCCGGTGCCTAACCCATCCGGTGACTGACTCATCTGGTGACTACTTCATCTGGTCCAAGACTCTTCTGGCACCAAACTCACTTGGTCCCGACCTCGTCCGGTGCCAAATTCACCTTGTGCTTAACTCATCCTGTGCTTGACTCATCAGGTGACTAACTCATTGGGTGCTTAACTCATCTGGTGACTAACTCATCCGGTCCCCATCTCATCTGGCTCTGATTTTGTCTTGTCCTGATCTCATCGGGTGCTCAACTCATCCGGTGACAAATTTATCTGGTGTTGAACTCATCATCCGGTGACTATCTCATCTGGTGACGAACGCATCTGGTGCGCAACTCATCCAAAAACAAACTCGTCCTGCGACTACCTCATCTGGTGCTGGACACCCCCCGCACCTGATTCACCCCAGCCGATTTCGCCCGCTGTCGGACTCGTGGGTCACTCACCCAGCTGGCTGGCGACAAGGTTAAATCTTCGGGCGTGGCACTGGAGCAGAGATCATCGACACGCGTGGCCAGGCTGACTTGCGCGCGGGCCGCCGTTCAGTTGTCCGGCGGGGGAGCGCATACACATGCACGAGACAAGTAGCCCGCGTACATTCCACCCGATTGGTAAGGATTGTATGTGAAGACCGCCCCTCTCCCCCCTCTATCCATCTTTCCTGCTATCCCCGTGGCTCAGGTATTCGGTACATCCGCGCCCGACCTTCATCGGGTGAGAAGAGAAGAGATCTCCATCTCCTCTCCTCCCTGCCCTCTGCCTGCGGACCTCACGGGAGGTTCGACCCTTTAGGTCGTTCACCTCCGTTCACAACGAGGGGCAACCTCCCCAAGGGGTACCCCTTCGCATCCTTGCCTCCTCGACCCATTCCTGGCCGATTTCGCTGGCCGCGCTCCACCCGCGAAGTGTCGACGTGGCCCTCCGAGGCCCCTGCACTGTTGTTATCGCGCGTCCTGGTGATGCGGGCTGGCTGCACGGCCAGCAGCGATGCCTTCCCGAGGCTTCCCCACAGACGCCGCACACTCCCCAAGGGAATCACTGCGCTCACGACCGTACTGCGCCATGACAGCACGAAGGATCAACACGGGGAACCCGAATCCACCGCCCGCTTAGTCAAGCGCTCTCTGTCGATGTGTCCGTAGCAGGTCGATCGATCCCACAGGATCTGCGCGGAATTTTGGTGCTCCTGGTCCGAACTGTTCAGGAACGTGAGTTGGGGGAGGATCGGGCTGGGTTTGGCAGATGTCTGCGAGACGCATTGCCTCCACCTGTATAGCGCGTGCTGGGGCCCGCCAGAATACTTGGCTTGGTGCGGTACTGAAGCGAGCTGCTGTGCTTCCAACTTATTAGGCTACCGATGCGCCCAGTCCATTCCTCCCGTCATATCTCTTCAGGCCCATTCCCTCCAAACCTTGCCTTCCTTATCAGTCTCAGTGGCCTGCTTCTGGTCAAGCATATTTGTAACATGCTCTATCACATCATGCGCTTGGATGGGCACGCCTTGAAACAGATTGCCAGCAGCAGCATCATCGTGCAGTAGACCTGCAGCAACTCGGATATCCTGGAGCCCATCTTTCAGGGACGCAACGGCTGTGACTATCTCAGGGCTATTCCCCAGGCTGTCCATACAATGTTAGAACGGGGATCTATCTCTTGAACTCCTAAAAATTGTTGCTTAACCCCCTCAGGGGCTCAATGTTGTCCACCTGTTTAGCCCTGCTCCTGCTGGTCTTGGCCTCAGCGGGAGCATGAGAATCTGGGTGGGTGGGTGGGTGGGTTGGGGGGTGGGTTCTGGGGTGCTTGCTAGGCTTGATGGAGGTGTTGGTTTTGACACTGATTGTTTTCTCCATGTCCTGAGCCAGGGTGAAGTACACGTGGTTCAAGATGGCGTTCAGCTGCTGATCGGAGAGGGGCTGGCGGGCGTCTTCGACCACTTGCATTGCGCTGCATTGCGTACCAACTGACGGCTGGCAGTTGCGTTGCAGGTCCACAGGGAACTGTGTGGGCACTTTCTGTGGCCTGAGGAGCGTGGGAATACTAACATTGTTCTGCACCGCCAAGTTCAGGAGCACAGGACGATGCGGGGACATGGGGACAGGAGGCCAGAGCACGCGGGTTGAGGAGCCATGACGGTCGCCCTCGGCTGGCAACGGCGTCGTCCAGAGCCTCTACTCCGCCTTCGTGGTTCTGTAGGTAGGAGTGGGATGAGCGAGCAAAGCCATGATCGCTCTGGTGCGACACTCGGACTTATGCGTCTTATATGGGGCAAGGTTAAACTCGCCAGCAACCACATTTGGGTGGGCAAGCTGATCCTGGGGCTGACCGATGTCGGCCAGCAGTGTTACATTGGTTTCCGAGAGACCGTCAGCAGCTTGGAAGTAGACATTGCACAAGCTAACCTTGGGCACTCCAGAGACCTCCCAAATAACTTCAGACAGACGG